TTTTCTTTACATCATATTAGATTTTGCTGTCAAAAAGGTCATTGTAAACTTTCAATCTCCAGGGCTATTCTGGAATTACAGATAAGGAACTTCAGATTTCACTTACTTACTGGAAATGTGTAAAACCTTCAAGTTTGTAAACTTTGGCAACAGAAGTGTATAACAATCTCAGATATATTTTTTCATAATGCAAACTGTTTACAGGTGAGAAGCAGGGAGAAGACATTAAACTATGTTTAGTTAGAAGGCTAAATGTTAATAAGGAACATCATATTGCGCCCAGACCTCCCTCATATTTGATATAGGCTATGATGATGCACTTGAGATGGAGTTAATCATTTCATTTCATGCTTTCAATTTCCTAATTTCCTTGCAAGTGTAACAAGCCAATAGTTGCCACAAATATTTCTTCACAGAAAATTAGCAGGAATATAAATTTAGATTAAATCTCATACTCAACAATTTGGCTTAGATCCAAGACTTTGCTCTTAGATGAAGAAAGTACTAAGGCAGTAAAATTTAAATTTGTCATTTGCCAAACATGCCAATTATATTCAAAAGATACTAAAATTTATTCACTTAAGAAATTCTTCTGTAAAATAAAATATACTTAAATACAAATTATTATTGTAAATTTGTCTCAAATTTGCTGTATGTTGAAAAACTTTGCTGTATGTTGGGGAAAAGAAAACAATGAAAAAGAAAAGAAAAACATACTGCCAGGGTTAACACATTTTTAAAGCATGAAATCAAATTCCTATCAAGGAACTCAAATGTCAGATATAACTCACCTTCCATAGTAAAAATACTAACAAAGCAAGCATCAAAATCCCAGCAAGAATAGACAGCAGGATGATCCACCAAGCTATTCCTGAATACTGAGCTGCAGTCTTTGAGGGAAACACAGTCACACGAACCTAAAGGGCATAGTTAGAAAGGAGATCATCATAAACGGGAATATGAGTTGACACTGAGAATCCACAGTTCTATTTCTACTTCTGAACATACTCTGGACAAAGCCTATGGATGATGCAACTTTCTCCTGGGGGATCCTTTCTCATAATGAGGTATTCCCTGAAAGTCTTTCCCTATAATGTGGAAAAAGTTGGATTATATTCTGACAAACTTTTTTTTTTTTTTAGTCGGTTGTGGGGCTTAAACTCTGGGCCTGGGCACTGCCTGAGCCCTTCATTCAGCTCAAGGTGAGTGCTCTACCACTTGAGCCACAGTGCCACTTCTGGTTTTTGGGTGGATAACTGGATATGAGTATCACTGACTTTCATGCCCAGGCTGGTTTTGAACCGCAATCCTCGGTCTCAGCTTCCTGAGTAGCTAGGATTACAGGCGTGAGCCACTGGGCCCGGCTCTGACAAACTAATTTTTGCAGACTTACCTTAAAATTTTTTTTTTAACAACTAAGATAGAGAAAAGTAGGTAATGAACTATCATATAGTCATCATCCTATTTCAACATTTTTTTTTTGGGGGGGGGTCAGTCGTGGGGCTTGAACTCTGGGCCTGGGCACTGTCCCTGAGCTCTTCAGCTCAAGGTGAGTGCTCTACCACTTGAGCCACAGCGCCACTTCCAGGTTTTCGAGTGGTTTATTGGAGAGAAGAGTCTCATGGACTTTTCTGCCTGGGCTGGCTTTGAACTGTGATCCTCAGATCCCAGCCTCCTCAGTAGCTAGGATTACAGGTGTGAGCCACCGACGCCTGGCTACCTATTTCAACAATTATCAATTAACGTTCAATCATGTTTCAACTATAAAAGTTGGTATTGTTTTACTTTTATTTTTTTCTGCTGCTAACATTGAACCTAGAGCCAGAACCTGCTAGGTGTCTACCACTGAGTTATATATATATATATATATATATATATATATATATATATACATATATATATATATATATACACACATACATACACACACACACACATATATATGTATATATCTCCTTTTGAGAAAAAAAAAACTTCAGTTTTCAATAACAGAGAGCAAAAAGCCGGTCTATCTACAATTAGTTTACATATCTCAAACTTCAAAGATGTTATTAAAAACATAAAAATAATGATGAAGCTGCATGATGGGTAGATACTATTTTAATCTTTTCTTGGATACTACCCTAAACACCCATACACAATTAAATTAATTGACACGGCTCAGTGTCATGTTCTACAAAATACATATGGACAAACTAGACCCTGGATTCATTTGGAGGCCCCAGAGTGGCTTATGGCTCACTACTCCTTGTCTCCCCATCTCTAGACATAAGCCAGATTAAAACTAAAACCCCCTTTCCTTGAGATTATTTGGTCCAGCATAAGATTATCTATAACAAGGAGGAAAGAAGAGATAAATCATGAGACAAATGAAGAAGCAACCTAGTTATATGGCTGATAAGATGACTGTAATCAACAATGACTTCCGTTTATTCTAGGTGGCAATCTCACTTAGCCTTGCTTTCCTATTAGCTACTACAAGGAAGGCATTGGTGATCCCTGGAGCTAGATGGAGCAGGATAGGAAAAGCTATCATCATTTGTAAAAATAAGTTCTGAAGCTGGGTGCTGATGGCTCAAGTCTATAATCCTAGCTACTTAGGAGGCTGAGATCTGACGATCATGGTTTGAAGCCAGCCCAGGCAGGAAAGTTTGTGAGATTCTTATCTCCAATTAACTACTCAAAAAACAGAAGTGGAGCTGTGGCTCAAAGTGGTAGTGTAGCTTTGAGCAAAAGGAGCTCAGGGACAGTACCCAGGTCCAGAGTTCTAGTCAATACAGAGGTGGAGACTGGTCTATGACAAGGAATCAACCTTATTGCAATCACATGGTAATCCATTTCTTTTTAAATGGCTGATTATAGGAGAAACCACAAACATAAATGGCTGCTACTCATCAGCCTTGAACAAGGTTTTGATTTTACACAATACAGGGTGAGGGGTAGGTGGGAATCCAGCAGAATCTCTCAGCCTCAGGTATATATACCATTTAAAACAGAACTGGTAATTTTATTAGACACTGTAAAAATAACTCACTGGGCATCAGAGGTTGAAGACTCAAGTCAGGGGCTAGACTAGCTTCACATATACAGGTCAGCTATTCTGGGAATCAGGAAGGCAAGAGCCAATGAACAAGACTATTGTTTGTTTACTTAGACTGCCAACTGAAGTTTTTTTTTTTTTTTTGGTCTGGCACAAAAGCCATTCTTCAGTTGGGATTGGGAGGAAGAGAGGAGAAGTAGGATCAGGTCAGGGGAGACCAACTGGGTGGACTACAACCCCCAGATCTCTGAGAAGCCTGTATCATTCTGACATAGCAACTGTTATTAATGAATAATGACAGTTTAAGGGGAGTAGAAACATGCAGTTTCAGAATTCCAAAGATAATATTTTGGTTTTACTAAAATTTAGTCATTTCTTATGGGGTGACCTACATCTGTGAACCTCATGAATCATTGTGCTCATAAGAGAAAAAGGGCTTAAACTCTCACCAGTGAGTGGGCAGTGCAGAGACCAGATTAGCTTGCCAACTGTCAAGACACTTCCACATGACTTACACCTGGTGAACTGATTTTCATATGTCTTTTACAAAACTACTTATTAAAGAGATCAGCCACTCCTATGAGTCTTTTAAAAGTACATGTCTCAGTTGGCACTGGTGGCTCATGGCTGTAATACTATCTACTCAGGAGACTGAGATCTGAAGATAATGGTTTGAAGCCAGCCAGGCACGAAAGTCCCCATGAGACTCTTATTTCCAGTTAACCACTCAAACACTGGAAGTGGAGCTGGGCTCAAAGTGGCAGAGAGCTAGTCTTGAACAAAAATTGCTTAGAGACAGTGCCTAGACCCTGAGTTCAAGCACCCCAACCAACAAAATAAAATTAAAGTACACATCTCAAGCTCTAGAACTAGGAAGAAAAACTTCATTTCCTCGAAGAATGGAGTATTTATTTTTACTGATCACATTTCCTTTTATCTTTAGGAGCCAAGAAACTTGAGTATTATCTACCTGCTTCCTAAGGAATGAAGTAAACAAACAGCAAATGATCCCTCTTTCCTTCCGTGGCTTAATCCAACCACAAACATGAAATACTTGACACTATCTTATTCAACTTTGCTTCTACCATCTAGTATAGGTAAGTTACCCATACATTCCTCATAGTTGTTTGTTAACAGCACAGATTAAATTTAATTGATGTTATTATAAACAGCTTGCCTGAAGCAATTGTATAAGACTATGGTCTTACTTAGTCAAAATGGTGTCTTAAGTTAAAAGTGCCTATGTATGTTTGTGTGTGTGCACATACATGTGCACTTGTACCCATGCGCCAGTTCTGGGGCTTAAACTCACCCTTGTATACTGTCCCTTTGTACTTTTACTCAAGGCTAGTACTCTACCACTTGAGTCACAGCTCTACTTTTAGCTTTTTGGGGTGGTTACTGACGATAAGAGCCTCATGGACTTTCCTGCTTATTAGGCTGGCTCAAACTGAGATCCTCAGATCTCAGCCTCCTGAAAAGCTAGGATTACAGGTACAAGCGTAGCTGGCCACTCCTCCCCACTTTTTAGGAGCTCTTGAAATTGGGTAACAAAAAGATATTTCTTACATTTTTAAAGCAGGATAAGATTAAACTAAAACAGGTTCAAGACTGCATTACATAACATTTTTCCTTCCATCTCCAAAGAAAATCATCTTCAGACCGGAAAAGAGAAATGGAACTACCAATTAAGGTGTAACTATATCCCCATAATGAGGGAGTAAAAAAAAAAAAAAAAAAAGGCATCCTGACACTTGAATTAAGATCAAATCTTTAAGCCTAGAAAAACTACACTTTAAAATACTCAAGGAAAAATGAAGGCAGGATATCTAAGCTATTGTATCTCAGAAATCACAGAAAATGGAGGAGGTAGTAGAACACTAGAGATAAGAAAATGTCTTTACTTTCAAGAGAAATAAGTTCTAGATATGAGACCAACCTACCTATTATTAAACAAAGTATAATTTCTTAGCCTTTTGGCTAAGATCAAGTGTAGTAAACAAAGTAAGATTGAACAGGAACTTAACTTCTCATTTGTTTGTTTATTTATTTACTTATTTGCTGGTCGAGGAGCCTGAACTCTGGGCCTGGGCACTGTCCCTCAGCTCTTCAACTCAAGGCTAGTGCTCTACCACTTGAGCCACAGTGCCACTTCTGGCTGTTTTTGCTTATGTGGTGCTGAGGAAACGAACCCAGGGCCTCATACATGCAAGGCAAGCACTGTACCACTGAACCACCTTCCCAGCCCCTTGACTTCTCATTTGGAAGCATTCATTCTACAAGTTCTAAGAACTTGGACAAAGCTAGCAGAAGCAAAGTTAGCAAGATACTGAATTAAAAATAAAATTCAAATAAAAGGGCTAGGGGCAGCTAGTAGTACAGCATTTGCCTAGTACCAAAGTACCAGGTTCAATCTCCAGTATTGGAGGGAAAAAATTTAACAGCAGTAATAACACCGTTTGTTTCTCCAGTCTCTTCTTCAAGAACAATCTCATTCCCAATTCCCAATTATGTTATGTAATCATTTTACCCCAGGATCCTGATGTAGACTCCTACAAGAAATCCCCACTAGTGGTTTGCCACAAAGATCAGCCTCATGTCTGATCTCATAGTTTTACTTGGATGAAGACAGAGCTTGCTTCTCAGTTTTAAACAAGACTAAGTTTGCAATGATAGAAAGTTAGAAAACAAACGATCAAGATTCAAAATTATAAACGGAGACATTGGGCCTAAAGCAAACACCCTGTAAGATACTAACACATTTAAGGGTATACATTTACATTTTTTCATATTGCTCAAGAAGATGGAGAGTAAACACAGCTTGACAATATATTCTGATGAAGCCACCTGGGAGTTACAGTAGAGTACAACACAAAAATAGCAGCTGCTGCAAATTCTATCAATAAAGCTCAGGCAACATTTGTTTAACATTTTAGGCTAGTGCTGAGATGCTGCAAGACAAAGGCCCAAGGTGAGCTGAACTGGGTGGCATACATCTCTGCCACCTGTCCAGGTGGGATCACACTGCCCAACAAAGGCTAGCCAAGAACATATGTGGCATCTCTCTCAACAGAATCAGCCAAGATGTGTCCTAAGTGATATGATAATTTCCTTCAATCACTGAAAAGCCAGATATACGGCCAAAGAAAGAACTGATTCTAGACTTGTTCCAAGGGTCAGAGACTCATTTTACAAATTTCCTTTCTAGATTTACATAGAGCTTTTCTTTTTTCTTTTTCTTTAAAAGATAACTGCATCTGGCTATACAGAGCACAAGCATTCCAAGAGTGGTTGTAGTATCAGGGCTGGCTTGTGCCTTGTGTTTCTTTAAGCTACATCTCCTCTCCAGCCCCCGCCTCCCACACTCAGTTTTCCACTGAGCTAACAACTCATCAACTATAGATTTTACTTCAGGCTTACTTTAGGGCTTATTTCTTTTAATTACTCTAATAAAATCCAACGTTTAAGACATTTATCCAGGATTCTAAAGAGCAGGACCTCAGGCAGGGGGATGGGATAGAGGAAGAGGCCTTTTTCTGAGCCCTGAGCCTGCTGGAAGCCAAGAACCTGTCACCTGAGTGCCTGCATGGGGCAACTTGATATTCTCTGCAGCATTGGTCACATCAATGGAAGCCCGCACAAGAATGTCCAAGTAGTTGAGTTTAGAATATTCCTGTGGGAGACAATGAGCAGATTAGTCAAATGACAAATGAGTTAGGCAATGATCCCAAGGGACAGTTTCACGGCAGAGCCACACCTCTAAAAATGTGCTGTTCCATAACCTTGATCGCAGAACAAGAGAGGCCTTGCTGTCCAGCCCACGCAGTGGGCACCTGATGTTCACGCATCTTGCATTCACGCTGCAATTCTAGAGACAGGGAAATTGGCTATCAGAATCACCCTATCAAGATGTCCCTTCCCTTGCCATCTCTGTCATGTGGGCACAGTCCAGAAATGTACTCACCAGGGTCTGGTATTTTCTTTCAGCAAATAAAGAAAATTTTCTGCTCTCATCTATCTGTTTTTCAGCAATTGCCCGTTTCTTTCTTGAGGTGTGAGATTCCTGAAAAGGAATTTATCACAATAGTTCTTTTTTTTGGTCAGCTGTGGGGCTTGAACTCTGGGCCTGGGCGCTGTCCTTCAGCTCTACCACTTGAGCTACAGCGCCACTTCCGGTTTTCTGGTGGTTTATTGGAGATAGGAGTCTCACGGTCTCTCCTGCCCGGGCTGGCTTTGAACCGCGATCCTCAGATCTCCGCCTCCTGAGTAGCTAGGATTACAGGCGTGAGCCACCAGCGCCAGGCTCTATCACAATAGTTCTACTTTATGTCACTCTTTGGCATTATCAAATAAGTCTCATCTCATACAACTCCAAAATTACATAATCAATAATTAATATCAATCCCCCTCTCACCACCAAAAACAGAAATAACTCAAGTGTAAAACCAGTTAAGTGTCAGGACAACTCTAACTTCTGGTCACTCATTAGACTGTTTTGAGTAGTTCAACTATGACCTTGACTCTCAGAAAAAGAAAGAGGCTTCCTTTGGCTTCTCTAAACTGTGAGCAAATGGCACCACTGTGACCAGGGTCAGCTTTTCTCCATGGTGCCCATCTCAGGATCTAACTTATGGTAGACAGTCAGCAGGTATGGAATGACTACATGATATTGAAGAACAGAAAGAGATGCTAATCAGAGAAAAGGATTGCAAACTAAGCCACGAGAACTTTCTTCTTTATACAAGTCGTGTCCCTTCTTGGTAATTCACCAAAAGTGGTTCAGATTTGGGTTCTTTGGACAATTTTAGATTTTTTTTTTCTTGTTTTAAAAATTAACTTACTAATATTTTTTTGTTATCTTTAAGTAGTTGTACAAAGGGGTTTCAACTCAACATGTCAATTTAATCAGTGTCACCTCTCCCATCTTTCTCCTCTACATTTCAAATTGTTGCCTTCCAATTATGAACACCATACTAATCATACCTAATTATCTCAAAATAAAATAGACAGGCCATGATAATGCAAATATTCATCAATCTAGAACGTAAACAAGCCAATGACTTAAGTGCGGAGCAGTATAGACTTAAGAGGGGCAGGAATTTAAATACAGAATCATCTGCTCTTAATAGCTGAGCAACTCCAAGAAAGTTACTTAATGTCCTCACCTATGATGATGGGAATAATACCTCATAAGACTACTGAGAGAATGAGAAAATGTAAGCAACATGCATAGTAGAGCATCAGAGTTAATAAATATCTGATGAATATTTACTATTAAAAGTAAGAATAAAGTCGGTGCTTATGGCTCATGCCTATAATCCTTGCTCCTCAGGAGATTGAGATGTGAGGACTGAGGTTCAGAACCAGCCTGGGCAGGAAAGTCTGTGAGATTCTTACCTCCAATTAACTACTAGAAAATGGGAAATAGACCTGTGGCTCAAAGTGGTGGAGCACTAGTCTTGAGCAAAAAAGCTCAGGGATTGTACCGAGGCTCTGAGTTCAAGCCCCACAACCCACCAAAAAAAAAAAAAAAGAATGAGCTGGATGGTTCATACCTATAACCCTAGCTACTCAGGAGGCTGAGATACAAGGATTGGAGTTTGAAGTCAGCCAGGGCAGGAAAGTCTGTGTGACTCTTTATCTCCAATTAACCAGAAAAAAGCTGGAAGTGGAACTGTGGCTCATAAACAGAAAGAGAGAAGTGGGCGCTGTGGCTCAAGTGGTAGAGCAATAGCCTTGAGCAAAAAAAGCTCAGGGACAGCACCCAGATCCTGAGTTCAAGCCCCAGGAGGGACACACACACTCACACACACTCACACTGATTCCATTTACTTGTGCAATAAACACATGCTAATAAAATGACAGAATATTTTAGTTTTTGCAATTTATAGGCATAGTTCAATAAAATAAATTTACTTTGTAAAAAACATGTATACCCTTGAGTACATTTCATCATCGAATGATGATGTATCTACTTGACATCACTCTCAAGGTCACCTGGTAAGGTATATGTATCTTTTTTTTTTTTGTCAGTCGTGAAGTTTGAACTCTGGGCCTGGGCACTGTCCCTCAGCGATTCAGCTCAACGCTAGTGCTCTACCACTTGAGTCACAGCGCCCACTTCTCTCTTTTTCTGTGTATGTGGTGCTAAGGAATTGAACCCAGGGCCTCACGCATGCTAGGCAAGCACTCTACCACTGAGCCACCTTCCCTAATCCTATACATATAATGCCTTTATCATGATCCAATTTAGAGTTAATACTGGCTGGCTAGCTCCTAGAAGCACATACCAGTCTTCCTTATACAGTTGATTGGGCCATAAAACTTTCAGAAAAGGTCGGGCTGGGAAGGTGGCTCAGTGGTAGAGCGCTTGCCTTGCATGCCTGAGGCCCTGGGTTCGATTCCTCAGCACCACATAAGCAAAGAGAAAAAAAAGCCGGAAGTGGCACTCAAGTGGTAGAGCACTAGCCTTGAGCTGAAGAGCTGAGGGACAGCGCCCAGGCCTAGAGTTCAGGCCCCACGACCGGACCCCCCCCCCCCAAAAAAAAAAAACAACAACTTTCAGAAAAGGTCATTTGTCTGAATAAGCCCTTAGTGACTGTATGTACCCTATGTACCATAATGGTCAGTTATGCCTCAACTATGTTAGAATGCTAGTTTCCTAGCAGAAGCATGATTTCCCTTCAAAGGTCAGCCTCTCTTGTTTACATTTATAGAGAGTTTAGAAAACTCCCAACATACCTTTAGATTCAGGAGGTTTATTTCCTTTTGTGGCTCGCAAACTATCTTTTCCAATCCTTTGGATTCTACTTTCACCAAATACAGCAACCATTTGCCATTGCTGATTTCTTTAGGCCACTGAATATTCAAGGTTGCTGTGCCAAGGTTTTTAAGAGGCTTACCTAAATTAATTACCTGTTAGAAAATAATACACATTATCTCAATGTAATCTTTGTAACATAAAATCAAATGAAGATCAATGCTTATTGTCAAGATTAAAAAAAAAACAAAACAGAAACACCATCCTACAATAACAAGATAGGCTCCAAAAATGGACTAGGATAGAGTATTCAAAACAGTGATTTGTGCTTAAAGAATCCTGCCAGAAAAAAAAAAAATGACAAAGAGAATGATTGCTAATATTATC